GTCGTCCCTATAATATACCACTGTAAAACTAATTTTTTTGTCCCCCCCCCCCCCCAGTTCTGTCTTGTCTCTCCTTTATCCCTCCTATAACATGCTCCCTGCAAATTCCAAACCTTCTCCCAGGTCTCCATGTTGTTGACTTACCTGTGGGCTTTGGTCACCTGCCCCCTTCAAACCTAGTTTAAAGCCCTCCTCACTAGGTTAGCCAGTCTGTAGCCAAACCTATGCTCTTCCCCTTCCTCGCTAGATGGGCCCCATCTCTGCTTAGCAGTCCTTCTTCCTGGAACAGGCATCTCGTGATCAAGGAAGCTAAAGCACTCCTGGCGACACCATCTTCACAGCCAGGCATTAGCCTCCAGGATGCATCTGTCTCTGCCTGGGCCCCATGCTCACTCCATCTCTCTCTCTCTGCAGGGTGGGATGGGGAGGACGTCACCCAGGGGGTCCCGCGAGTCCCCCAGGGGGAGCTGCCCTACACCCTGAGCCTGAGCGCCACGCTGCAGTCGCCCCACAGCATCGACCGCGTGCTCTCCAACTGCTCCCTCACCCCCCTGAGCTACATGGCTGGGAACCGGACCACCGCCCAGGTAAGGGCTCACCTGGACACCTGGGTCTCGGCTATCCCCACTGGGAGGGGCAGTGGGGGGGCAGCTCTGAGCAGGGGTGTGATGGGGGCTCTGGGCTGAGGGTTGGGTGCCAGGGGACTGGGCGTGGGTCCTGGGTGGGCATATACAGGGGTGGGAGCTCCGGCATGGGGCGGGTGGCAGGGAAGAGGGTTGAGCAACACCAACAGATCCAGGGAATTGCCCGTGTTCTCTGGGGAAAGTCTCAAGGGGCTGAGACCAGCCCGTGGGGGTGAAATCCTGGACATTCGAGGGGTCCTGGTTCCCTTTGCTTTCTGGGAGTTTTCATCTCCTTAGAATAGAATAATAGAATATCAGAGTTGGAAGGGACCTCAGGAGGTCATCTAGTCCAACCCCCTGCTCAAAGCAGGACCAATTCCCAACTAAATCATCCCAGCCAGGGCTTTGTCAAGCCGGGCCTTAAAAACCTCCAAGGAAGGAGACTCCACCACCTCCCTAGGTAACGCATT